TTGCCGTTGTTGTTCCATCCAGCACTGCAGGTGGTGAGCTTGCCGGGGTTAGAGTTGGTGTTGGCGACCCAGGTGTGGATTTGCGACTTGTCGACGCAGGTGACGTCCCAAGCACCGGCACCGCGCTCGTTGTAGCCGTGGAACTCGACACACCACTGGTTCCTGCCGCAGGCTCCCGGCTGACGGTAAATGGCGTCAGCGTGCGAGTTCTCGGCAATGCAAGTGACCTTGAAGGTGTTGACGTCCGTTCCGGTGCGGTCGCAGGTGGCCTCTTCGTACAGCCACTTTGCGCCACTGCGGGGAAGAGGTCGGCGGCTTCTGCAGACGAGAGCAGAGTAAGAGCTGCGCTTTTCGAGGTCTCTCACAACGACATCGGCAGGGTTCGGGTTTTGGGAGTCGAGCGAGATAGTGCCCAACTGAGAGAGGTCGATGGCCTCGGTGGTGGTAACCCATTCGACGGCCCTGCGCTCAAGAGGAGCGGCAACGGCACCGAGAACTGCTGGCAGAACAGCAGCGACGAGAGCCGCAGAGTGGATGATTTGGTTGTACATCGTGGAATGAAGGATAGGCAGGTTGTTAAGGGAACGAATGAATAGCAGTTGTGAGCCTGTGTATGATGAATGAATGATTAGACTGAAGGCCGATATGTTCTGAATGATAAGTATGAGATCTGAGGACGAAGATGGCGACTCTTTATACAAAAGCCGCCAACTTAGAGACAGCCACTGCGTTCATAATCCAACCCGAAAGCGACTTCATTCCCCATGATGCAAAGCTTCCAGAAGGCGTATTTCGCCTAGCTCAGGACATGGACTCAGAAGCAGACCGAGACTTCCGACCTGCTGCCGAGGATCCGGAGTTGAGAATAGTGTCATTTTGTGACTTTGAGAGAGTTTTCACCGCTCTTCGCCCATGTGTCCACCTTTGAAGCTAATGGGACCTTTGACGAGCGTTCTCCCATCGGTGGCCCGTCCACTCTGGTGAGGCGAACGCAACAAGGGGAGTCCAAATGCTGTGTTCAAAACGGTGATAACTGTTTTTGGGAGTATCATGACTTCTGTCATTTTTCGGACATTTATCCAATCCTGTCTCTACGTTCATGTATGGCCGATTGTTGTCTGGTCGTTTGAGATGTTTCACGCCGTGATGGTAACTTGCTTTGTAACATTTATGAGGTCTCCAAGGTCAACCGAACAAGCTAGAAGATTGCGGGGCTCTCATCATACTGCGAGCAGAATTTATCCCTCACATGTGAACCTTGATTGAGTAAATGTCATATGCGAGCCCTTTTCAACCTAGGCCGACAGCTTGACTCGTATAGTACAATATTACGAACAGAAAAACTGAAATCCTCGCCGAAGACATGAAAAGCCAGAAAGAAAAGTGAGGCTATCGAAATCTTAATGAGAGTAGCATCAGTGAATGTAATCGATACCGGCTGGCCCGGGGCGGGAAAATGTTCGGTTGTTGTCATTCGCTGATCTGTCAGCAGTCAGCTACCTTTCAACGTTTTGTTCAAGCTTTAACCAAGCTTTAAGCCAAGCCTCCAGGGTCCAGACCTCTCTGGCCTGCGTTCTGGCCTCTGTGACCCCTGTTCCAACGGGGAGTGATGTGCAAACTCATTCGACTCCTGTATATCACCCGTGTTGGTTATTCTCACCTCTGCCAAAACAATATGCACCTTCTAGGTTGTCATTGTAAATGCTGAGAGCAACGATAGTCCTAAGATCATCCTGAAGCTCCAAAGAGTCCGGTGCGATTTCAATAACAAATTATTTTCCCGGCCTTAAGGAATTCGAAATGATTGGTGTTAACTTACTTTTCCGGCAGCTTCGGGTGTGAGCAAGCTTGCATTGTATCAACATTCATGTCTTGACAACTGTTTTCAGAAATCGCTTCAAACTCTTCCCTTCTAGTCTGATGACAAGTTTAGGAGGTATCTCAAAGTTCAAAGCGTGTTTTGATCATGCTTGGGCAGAAAAGGCCAAGCGAGGATGAGTCTATTTACAGACAGCACAGCGGCAGCTGTGAGTTGATGATCTCCGAGGCGCATCAAATGAGCGAGAATTCTCCCTGCGATCCTCTATCACATAAGGTTAATATGATTCCTAAAAGGGCAAGAGGGCAGTGCAGGCGAATGCATTCTTTGCGCCGTATGCTATATTAGAACACATGCCCGCAGTCGATCCTCTACTCTACCTCACTGTTCTTCGTTTCTCGCGAACATCTTTTGGCTCATGCACTGGTTTCTATTGAAGTAAATTTCTGTCTTTGTTTTCGTTCTCATTGTCGCTATTCTCTAACTGCCTGCCGTCGCCTTTATTGTCTATAATTACTTGGATCATAGCAAAGCCCCGGCTCTGAGGAACAATGGCATAATTATCTTCTAAGAATTCTTGATATCCGGGCGGTCGTTTCTAGCTATCTGTGCGCATAATTGGTATCTTAGGTCCAATGGTTTATTGAATATTAATAATATTAAATAATCTTTTATCTGTATTCTCCGTGTCGTCCCTGTTATTCTTGTCGTCCCTTTCCCTATGATTACCGCCATCGTGGTCTTCGTTGCCCCTATTATTGTCAATACCTACTAGCCGCCCGGATAGCAAGACCCTTCCTAACTAGTCTTCTCGAGGGACATACTTCGGGTAGACTCGCCACACAGGAGGCATTCGTTCTAAAAGCCCTCATCACCGTGCTATGTTCAGGCGTCAGAAACCTCTGCTAAACGCTGCACTGGGCGTTGATGGCGCAATTATTGGCGGTGTCTGGTTTTCATTTGCCAGCGCCACGACGTGATTTGCCACGGTAAGACTCAGAGGCAAATTGGGGCATTCGAAGTGTCAAAGCACTCCTCGCTTCTAAAGTGTCCAAAAATAATTGAGAGAGCAACCATATGACCCGAGGACCCAACATTTTGATATATGCAACCACTTCCAAGCTTCCATGGGGATTGTGGCATCATTTGAATGATTAGCCTTGCTTTGAAGCTCTCATGTCGAGGATAGAGCATATGCGGCTCGCTCAAGGCGTGAGGCCGTTGCGAAAGTCAGAGAATGCTCATGCTACTTTTCATTTTCAGGAAATCGGTTGTCCGTGATGGGGCTACAAGGCACCCAAATCTTGCACGTGGCTCTCATGGTTCGACCAAAGTAATTCTCGGTCATCAACCTGCGACGCTCCCATCATCCCTTTCCTCGATCGTTTACACTTTCCTGTCATGCTGAATTCCAGGTGTCTGGCATTTCAGACGCCCCAAGTAGACACATTTCAGCCTCAGCTCGCGTGCGCTCTGTTCCCTCAGAAACGCCATATGTCGCTGCTAGTGATGTTACCTTCTCAGCAGTCAGTTCTGAATAATCTGTTACTAATTACGACCACGTCTGAATATGACACCAAATTGTCGAACTCTCAGCAAGTCCAGCCGAAGGTGGAGTTGGGACCCCAGATGATTTGCCGGCATGGCGTTTGTGTGGCTTGCTGAGCAAGCCCTCTGATGCTGTGGTCCAGAACTCAGCCACCAAAATAGCTCTTCGTGGCGCAACCTTACTTGAGATAACCTATTAGAGTAAAAACCGCCTGGAAGTCATCTTATTGCCTCCAACAGCGAGGGTAACGCGAGGACGGATATGCTTGTTCTATAATTCAGAATTCGATGTCCAAAGCAGCGACCCATAGTGTCTTGACTTCCTTCATATTTTCTACAACAGCCCACATTAAGCCGACTGCCCCGTAGGTGTCATGCATCATGAACAACGAGGCCCAAAGGTGCAGAATCCTCGGGCTGTTACAGTAAACTGCCCATAACTCTTGGCATTCGGTTTCCGTCTCAACTTGGACACGACCAAAGCACAGCGTGCAGTCGACTGGCGGTAGTGAAACAGCGTGAGAACAAACTTGGCAACGGCGCCGCGCCGTCTTGGCACTAGCCACCCCGCGAGCCGCTTAACGGGAGCTAACACCTAAAATTTGCCGCCCCCGCGTGCCACACTCCGGGCTCCCCTGAGCTAAACTTCCCAATCGGTTGTTTTCTCCCATTTCCCCTCGGCTCGAGTGGCTTTCAGCTGAGTTCCAGCGTCGTCTGAGGCCTCTGTAGCCGAGGGGGTCTGGAACAGCAGGTTTAGCCTACAGTTTCGCGAGGCGCCTGGTGTAAGTGGTCGTTTAATGATCCTCGAGGTGCTTGGACGGTGAGGCAGCCGGCTGAATGGACACATCGTGCGTGGCAGGTGTCTCGGTAGCCAGCTGCCTTCCGTGTGTCTTTCTTACCATAGTGTGTGTATCGAAATCGTGAGATTCAAGTTATCATAGAAATTGAAGGACAGGGCCAAGGAGAGGGAGACAACGGCCGTGGGAAGACCTAAGCGCAAAAAATGCACTGCTCGAAGTACGACTCTAGGAAAGAATAATCGGGAAGAGATATGTGTATCGGAGACCCGAAAGAGAAGCACTCTGCCCCTCCTTTTCTTCGCTCGTCTGCTGCCGACACCCTCTTCACACGTGGGCTGTGCACAGCGTGGCGACGAGCACACTAGATTCCACCGGACGGGCACGCCTCATACCGTGAATGTTCAGACTTGGCAACATCTGTCTGGTGCCAGAGTGTCGGGTCTGGACAGCTGAGGGCTATAGAAGTAGGGGTTCTGGACCGCGCGCGAACTCCTCACCTAGCTTCCAGCTTATTCTAGACAAGCGCCATAAGCTTGGCCTCACGATGCCTAGACCAGGGTCTCCAACTCCCACATTCGCTTGCTATGACTGAAGCGAGAGTCTAGATCTCATTGAAAATAGCTTCGGCAATGGCAATCAGTGTTTTCTGAATAACGCAGTTCAAGGTCGGCTCTGTATATAAGTGTCCAGAATCACCCGGTCTCTTGGATGTCTTTTGTCTCTCATCATCACACTCACTCTTCAAATCACACTCGAATCCCACTTTCTTTCACTTTGATATCATCCCATTCATTCAAATTTCAGATCATATCCACCAGCACCAACTCGCCAAGATGCACGCTCCCACTATCGCCCAGGTCGCCACTCTTGGCATGGCTTTCTTCGCCGCCACTTCCGTGGCCATGCCAATCGCTGGATCTTCCGATGCTGGTCTCATCGAGGCAGGTTCATAGTGCTTCTTTTTCCCAATTCACAATCTAACACTCTGCAGCGATCTACCGACATCTCCGGCGCCGGCATGGCTCTGGAGCAACGTGCCCCCAAGACGTGCAAGCGCAAGAACGGCGTCTGCGTGGAGCCCACCCCCGGAACCACCACCGGCACCAACCCCGACGTTGTTCCCGTTGTAGCGAGAAGCCCGAAGGGAGGCGACGCGGCTGTGGACGATGCCAACAACAACAAGGCCAGCGGAAAGAACCCCAAGAGAAACCCCAAGGGCGGTGATGCTGCAGCTGATGACGCTGGTAACAACAAGGCCAATGGCAAGAACCCGAAGAGAGCCCCGAAGGGAGGCGATGCCGCCACCGATGACGCCAACAACAACAAGGCCAACGGCAAGGCTCCCAGAACCGTAGTCGCCGACGACAACAGCGCTTCCAAGTCGACCACCCAGGACGACAAGAACAACAACAAGGGCGCCTCGGGCCGCAAGGGTGGCAAGTCTGGCAGCAAGTCCAGCGGCAAGACCACCACCTCCACTTCTGGCTCCGATGACAGCAAGACCACCGTCTCCGACGACAAGAGCACCACCAAGGTCGACGACAACAACAAGAACAACGGCAAGGACAACAGCTCCTCCAGCGGCTCCGATGACAACACCAAGACCACCGTCGTCGTGGACGACAAGAGCAGTACAAAGGTCGACGACAACGACAAGAACAAGTCTGGCAACAAGCGCAGCCCCAAGGGCGGCGACGCCGCTGCAGATGATGCCACGAACAGCAAGAAGGGTCATGCCCGCCGCCAGGAGGATGGGGATGAGGATGACTCTGATGTCGACTTTGAGGAGGATGTTGACTTTGACGACGAGGAGTAAAGCCGCTTGCAAGTCATCGATCCGGGCTGCTGACTTGGCCTCATTGGTGGAATTTATTTTGTGATTTGTCGCACACTCTACCTGTTCGGCTGTGTTGGACCTTTAGATGATGCCGTGTGCTTCCCTACTAAAATATGGTTTCCAAATTTCAACTTAAAGTGTCAAGCTTTATTATGATCTCTAATCATGTGCAGATAAAGACAAAGCAGCCTGTCGCGTTTGATGCGTAACTCGCTCATCTCGTATTTGCGTTTACGCCGAACCGGACAAGATAGCATAATCAGTGTCTCTATTCTCAAATTCTTGGTGAACGGAGTGGGTCATACGTTCTCCGTCGGTCTGGATTCAATCGCTTTTGAGTTCTAGTCACGTCTCATTACGGACTTCTCCAGGGCCTGTCGAGCGGGTAGGTAGCAACCGACATTCAAAGGTTAGATCACTGGCCAAGGGGGGCTCAAACTCTATCTCCAACTTTACAAAATTCCGCGGCCACTACTTGGAACTTCTAGACCCAGTGTAACGACTGATTCGATGAGGTGATATTGAACGTCTAGGGTTTCTTGAGATTGAGGGCGGCTTGCAGCTTGTATACCGAGATGAAGTCCGGATACGAGAAAGAGCAAGTTCTCAGTGGAACGCAGTTTGGACGAGGTATCAAAGAAAATACCTGCGAGTCCCTAATTCCTGACTTAGTATCCAATCACGCTTGTCTGAGTAGAGGCACGGTTTTCCAACTCTTCAACGTGTTTGGGTTACTAACCATTGACAGGGATCAACACATTTAAACTTGGTTAGGGGCGTGTTGCAAAGCCCCAGTCTTGCAGGCATCAGCTCTTTGCTTGCCACCGGATTAAATCCGAGTTGCTGACAACAGCGCACAGATCAACTTTGTTAGAGACTTCTTTCGATCCCAAGAGTCAATTGCAATAACGTTGCGTTGAGCCTGATGCAGATGCATGGTCATTGTGCAGCCAATCAACCCCAGATCACGCCCTCCAAGTTGAATTCTGCATCGAGCCAAAAAGAAAATGTGAGAAGGAATCTCATTAAACCTCAAGACAAACCAACAAGCCCCCGGCTGTTGCCGAGACACTGCTGTCCACTTCATCAAATCCGCGGCCCGCGTTCGAGTATCCCCGCGCGGACCCGGAGAAGAGCGACGCGCGTGACCCTCTTTTCCGCGTTCAGGGACCCAGCACAAGGAATGGATCGCCCCCCGTACGGAAATATCCTACGAGACGTTTCTCTTCTGCGCCTGTCAGAATAGGCATCATTTCTGCGAATCCTAAATAGAGTTTGGGGCCCCTACGACCCGCTAATATGCGCGCCGTACGATACGCTTTAGCCTACGACGGGCTGATAGGAGGAAGTCTGTAACAGCTCCGACGGCCCCATTCGATGAGAAAACACAACTATCACGATCACTAAACATCGCCATTCTTGCCATCAGAATATTCTTCAACGAGCCATTCGCATGCATCGCATCTCGCCGTACTCAAAGAGAGTTTGTGGCCATACTGCCGGCCCCTGTTCAACTCCTTCCGCATCAGGCAGTCGCTAAGCTGCAGCAGCACATCTGACTGGTCCATCCTTCTCCATCAACCGGACGCCGACGGGCATACGGCAAGACTACAACAACATAGCTGTGTGAACTTGCTCTAAGCCAACTTCAAGGAAGCTTTTGCGATCGTAGCATTCATTAGTCAACTAGGCGGCAAACAACGCCCTAAACTCTAAATGTAAATTCCTCTACTGTTACGTGGTAGCAAACGTGTCTGCTGCGAAACGCGCGCGTGCGCCACCCAGTGCGCCCTTACCAGAGAGAAATCCTCCGACAGCACATGGAATGTGCGCTTGTCGCGTGTAGTTTCATCTTCTAGAAGAGAACGGAAGGGAGAAAACGTCTGGAACACGCTGACGCAAACTGGCACCGCAGCGCGCACGATCCAATCGCTGTGAGAAAAACTTTAAAATTCAAAGAGGGGGGGGGAGGCACATGCGCGCAGGTTCAGACAACGTGTGCAGTGTGTATTCCCATCATCGGACGAAATGGCTCTAGATCGTGTAACGTCGGCAGGCGGCGATCAACTCAACTCAGCCCCCAAAAATAAATATCAGGGTCGCCCCCAGGCCCGCAGCGCCAAGTCTTGACTCGTGGGGTCGCCCAATCCCAACCCTCACCACCCATCTTTTGAAACTTGGTACGGCGTCTTCATGCTTGGTTCGAGCGCTGCCGTCCAGAACATACCAACGACGGGCGACGTGTTACCTGATTGGGCCGCTCTTACCACCTCAGCCGGACACTTTCTGTAAAGACGTAGAGAAAAGAACGAGCCCACATAATACGGAACTAAGGTTCGCGACTCGCCTGACTCGGCAGGCCTCGCATCATGCTGTGACATGGGCACCTGCCGCTCACGGGGCAAGGCGAGACGAAAGGACGGGAAGGCTACCCAGCAGTTTGGATCGGTCCTCTCCGTCGCTGCGAGGGAGTTCTACCCCGTCTGAAGCCCCATGATCCGTCTCTTGAGATCAAACGACACGAGTCGATCAATCCGCTGTATATAAACTCCGGCGATGCCTCCTCTCATCGACCTCTCGTTTCCACATCAGCAGCAACCGACAGTCTTCACTCACTCAATACCAATAACTAATACCACTCTCTTTATTTTTCTCCGGTAGAAAAAAAGACCCCCAACACTCCCTCAATAATCAAAATGCGCGCCTCAACCGTCTTCGCTGCCCTCTTCGCCACCCTGGCCGTCGCCATTCCCGCCCCGGGCCCCAAGAACGAGCTCTCCGCCGTCGACGAGGCCTCTCTTCTCGTGGCGCGCCAAGGCGCGCCCGCCGGAACCTGCAACAAGCCTGACAAGGACGGCTCGGCCTGCGCTGCGCTCAAGTGCGCAAGCAACTCCAAGTCTGGCCGCGGCAACAAAGTATGTTCTCTCCGGTTCCCCAGCACTTTACGCGACCTTGAGCATGATTACTAACGTGTTCCTCTGCAGGTCTGCTGCTGCAACTAAGCTTAGTCTTAGACACATGGGATATGGGGAGATTGTCCGTCTATGGCGGTTTGAGCCAGCTCGGTGGGCGCACCACTGCGGTCCCAACTGGATGGAAACTTCCAGAGTCTCACAGACGGATCCCAAAATCATTTCTTTTCAATTTCGGAGACGATAGAGCGGGTTTTGTGAAGTTTGAATAGATGCTCAAATTAGACAAGGAATAGAGTTTTGTCGGGACTCGTCCCAGTTTTGAGCAACGTTAAGCCTCCCGCTAGACTCCCGACCTGCGCTTGCTGATGGTGGTGGTGAAATTAAGTTTCGGAACACGTTTGGGGAGAGTTTTTGTAGTCTATCTCGTCCGAACGGAAACGACCCGGCTGGCTTAAATTCAGAAAGTTTTCATCTTCTTCCAACTACGCAAGCTCATGGTCTTCAGCTGCTGCGGGACCCGGGTACGAGGAGTTCTGCAGGGAATCATCAGTCAGAATGGTCGGTTCTGAGGTGAATGGCACAGGTTACACCGCATGCTCGCCAACCCACCAGCCCTCTCGGATGTGAGCCAAAAGACAGCCAAGGCACCGAAACGACGTATCTCGAAACTCCATCCATCATCACGCCCACGCTCAATAGCACGACAAACGATTTCTGTAAGTGCATGGTTACACGCGACCTCACGCATCTTGCGCATACATGGCCAACCACGAGTACGACGCCCCCGCCCACTTCATCACCACCGCACGCACCGGCACCAAAGTCCTTCCCGTCCAAAGCAGTCGGCTCTACCGCCTCGCTCATCCGGAACGAAACAAGAGCACATGGCTTTTGACGGATCGATGCACGGCAATGGAGTCGCCATCAAGACGCCGAATCTTCGTAAGCAGTGCCTGACGAACGTGGCAGTCTATTAGTGATTCATCCGGAATCCTTTAGACCCTCAACCGTGATATCCGGAAGGCTGCTTCGTGAGCATGAACGAGCAACCGGATTAGATTGTCAAATAATTTGCCTTTAACCAAAGAAGGACGCCAACAGCCATCATATGCCCTTCCGCAGAGTCAAATCGCCCCCGTCGCCAAGGTATCATCGCATCAAACAAGAGCAAAACAAAAGACAACTCGAAAACCCACAAGACACAACCACATTTCCTCCAGCAACAAAGTCCGATCCATCAACACCCACGAACACGCACCAGGAACACCCAAAACCTCAATCCGACAAGCCCCGCCAACCCACATTCCGGAGCCCACATCTCTCCCCAAGATGCACATCACCATGCCCATCTCCCATGGCTTCACCCGCCCAAACGAAGGGCTCACAGCCCAACCCCAAAAACCCGAACAGGCCTCGGCCCGCTCCTCGGAACGGACCCCGACGTCCCCTGCCCAATCGAATCGATCCCCCCCGTCCCGCCGGCAAACCACCCCCCACAAGCCTCCGTCATGATCGACCGCCGCCGCCGTGCCGTCCGTCTCAATCCCTCCTCGGGCCGCGCCCTCCGCAATCCCCCTTAGAATATCGCTTCACCGAAAGGGGGCGGCTTAGGACGCTCGTTCCAGTCGATCAACACCCACGTCCCCTTCCTCAGCGGTCCATTGTGCGAATATCCCAATGCTGCAGCTTTCCCAAACGGATGTGGTCTTTTTTCTCTTCCTTGCGTGCGACGTGAGATTTGAAAAAATGGCGGTATATCGTTTTGCGAACCCTCTCTCTCATCTGAAAGCCAAGAAACGGCGACGACCACCCTTTAAATACCACCCCTCGGCACATCCGGCCTCAAAAGGTGGATCTCCCTCCGGTCCCGCCCCGACCAAAAACTTCACACTAAAAGAAAAAACTCACCGGCGGCCCGGCAGGCAGGCAGAAAATCACCCACCCCCCACATCAACGAAACCCCGTGACGCCAAGATTTAATCAACGCCAAGACCCGCGCTTCCCATCTCTTCAACCACAGCCCCCGCGAACAGAACGGCAAACGGCACCGGCCAAGGGCGGGCTGTGTTCAAGATTGAAGATCAAAATGAAATGCCGGGACAGGAGGTCAAGAATAGAAAAGTCTGGCCGTGCATGGGGATACTCAAAGCGGGCAGAACACAACACAACCCGCGCCGCGCATCCCGCGCACGCGACCCGGACAGCAATCCCCACCTCCCGTACCGCCACCAACTAAATCCGACCGGGAAGGAGATGCTAGCCCCACAGCACCGCCGATCCGGCCTTCCGGTTCCGGAAAACGTGGCCTGCCCATGGCCAAGGGCCGCCAACATTCCCCAAGTCAGACATTGACCTTTGCCCCCCTCTCCCCACCTTCTTTGACACACTCATTCCTTCTATCTGTCTTGCTTTTTGTTCTCTTCATGCCTTGACCATCGTCATTTGAATCGTGGTTTAACCAGGGAACTGAGACACACCCAAGCGTGGGGGAAACCCTAGGCTTGGAATGTCGTTCCGAGGGAAGGAATGTTCACTCATAGGAAAATAAACGTCACCGTGAGAATGCGCAACATCCATGTTTGTAATGAGTGACTTGATGATTACTCTTCATGTTGAACGAAATATTACAAATAAAACACCCTAGTAACCATGTTCCCCCATCCATAGACGCCGTGCCCAAGCAAATTGGTATTCTAGTTCAAAGTTCCATTCCACGCAGTCTTCTTATCAAGAGCGTAAACAACACTCGCTAGATGGAGGATGCCAGCCATCCATCTAGATCGGTCTCGCTTAGAAGTAGCCGTGGTGGGGGATGGCGACGAAGATGCCGGTAAGGACACCACCAACCAATAGAGCGAATAGCATGGCCTGAATGAAGATGGTATCCTGAATGGTACGGAGAGCAGGCTCCTCGATCCAAACCTCGCGGTCGAAAATCTTGCGGATGATGTTGCGCTTCTCGTACTTGACGATCCACGGTTCCGACTCGAAGCTATTAGAGGATCCGAATGAGTCAAGGGAGACTCTACGCTTCTCATCATCCGTTTCCTCGTCCACGAACAGCTCCCAAGGCCGGACGTGGCGGTGGTGCATGCCGTGCAGGACAACACACATGCCCTTGTAAGCAGCCACAAGGGTCGAGATACCCAGGACCCAGCCAATAGCAGCCAGAGCGCGCCAGCCTCGGCGAGCACGGCTGAGAGTGATCAAGATGGCGACGACAAATGAAACGGCAATCAGGCCGACACCGAGGGCCCGAGCAAAGGTGACACGGGCGGGGTTTCCGTTGCAAATCGACCAGCGGATGAAGTTGGGGTGGTTTTGCTTGCGAAGCGAGTCCTCAACGACCTTGAGCGCGATGCGGCAAGCCGAGGGGTGGGTAGTCGTGGCAAGGGCGTGAAGGGTGGCATCGCGGTCCTTGGCTGAAAGGTTCAACTGTCGCGGAGCACCATCCATAATGTAAGTGGCAATCACGCGATCAATCTCCTCGCGGAAAGGCTGGATCGTGACTGGGGCCGGTTAGCAGATGATATAATGGCGAACTGTGGTCACTTACATGGCTGCTTGGCGCCAATGGCGGCGAAAGCCTCGCTGGCCTGCGAACGGTAGGAATCGGCGTTTGAAACACCGTTGGTGCCCGTGTAAACCGACTCCGAATCTGGAGGGGTATGCGGCGGGGTGCCAAACGGGTTACGGTCCTCAACGACCGCGGCGGCAGCACCGGTCTTCTCAAAGTCGGTACCTTTGAAGATCTCCTGACCTGGCTTCTTGCGCATACGCTGCGACTTGTCCTTGAACAGACGCTGAAGGACCTCGTTCTCCTGAGCTATGGTCCATTCGGGGGCGAGGGCAAGATCCGATGTCTTTGCCTCCTGGAAACGCTTGGTGTAATCTCTGTGCCAGAGGAAGAATTGGAGGTTTTCGGCAGCGAGCTCAATGTAGACGAGATAGTTCATAAAGTCGCGAACAGTGCAAGGCTGACGAGTCAGTGAAAATAATTGGAATGCTGAAGATGGGTACCTACAGGGCATGTGCCGCCGTTGATGATTTTGTCGAAGGCCAAGGATTCGGGGATTCCGGCAGGAGTACTAGACTTGCCAGACTTCAGGGAGGAGGAGGTGGTGCTGCCCTTCTCGTCGCCACTTTCAGACACGTCGGAGGTGCTTCCATGGACGGAAGTGCCCGTGACGTAGACAGGGCGGCGGTAGCTAAGGGGAAGAAGGCCCATGATGAACTAGGGATTCGTCGGGGATGGTGTTTGAGGTAGATGATTCGCGTTGGTCAGAGTGTCGTAGGATCTAGGTTTCGTGAAGAGAGTTGGTAGAACGGAAGTGGATGGCTGTGAATGTCGGTATACCTTAAGGTGAAAGCAGGATTGAGTGGGTGTCGACGGTGACGTTTGGCAGGACTGCACTGGAACGAGAGAGCTATATTAGGTAGTTGTCGTTGACGTGAACTGTAAGCTACTGCAAGATCAGAACTTGTGTTCGCCCGGTAGATGCTTGGTGAGACCGGAGTAGCGATGGAATAACCGGGTGTCTGGGAAGGAATGAACGGCGGGATGGCAGGTGTGATATATGTGCAGCCCAGAGCCTGCAGCCATCCCACGTATCCCCAGATATTGGGCTGGAGCAGATGTGACGGGCGAGACGGCCAGACCCCACCCAGCCATCACGGCTAGACCAGATTGTCAAGCTTTGGCCGGCTTCCGTTGACGGAGAGGGCTGAAGCTGGACCAATCCACAAAGTGAAGTTTGGCCTGCGCCGGGGTCGCGGTGGAACCGGATGGAGGAGGCGGCCACACGTCTGGTGTCTTTGGCGGAACAAGAGTGGGCGAGGACAACATGGGAGGTGGGGCGTGGTTTCTTCTCGGCCTCGAGAAAGAGCGATGCTGATATCAAGACGAACTTGGCAGGCATGGAGATGGACGCAGATGTACTAGCGTGGACGGGCTGGAGTGGACGCAATGTATTAGAGTGAGAGACATGGCTGCGAGTGGGTGTGTTGACCGTCGGCCGAGGAGAGGAGGAATACTGGCGCTAGCTGCTTGCATCGAGTGATTGTTGAAGCAGAGAATTCAAGGTTCATGGCCGACACGGTGGCCGTTGCATCTTTCTCGTCTTGTAAAGGCAAGCGTCTGTGAGGTTGAAGTCGAAGGTGAAGGTGCTACGTTAGGGAGCGACGGTCGTTGACGACTCGGTAAGACGCAGCCATCCGCAAGTGCGATCGATGAAAAGCAAGTGCGCGGAACGAGCGACGCCTCATCAACGCCGCTGCGTTCTGTTCAGGCGCATCTCCAACGAGGAAGTGACGAAAGACCCAATGCGGCAGAATCCCAGCTGATCATCCGCAGCAGTTGGTGATTGGTAGAGCCGGACTGGCACTAGCATCGCGGGCTTCCCCGAACGAGTTAGGGAGGCTTCGACAGCTGAGACAGTCGAGCTGGGCTTGCTTTTCTTGGCGACCACTCCGTACCCTCGAATCTGGCTGCCATGCTTGGGATAGATGGATGGAAATGAGAAACATGCAGTTAATCCCGGCATCCTCCATGGCACTGCAGAAGATCGGCTTCGGCTTGGAGAAATCCACAGCATGATATCTTTTTGGTGGTGGATGTCGACTCGGCAAAGGCCGTGGTTAGCACACGAGTACCTTCATGTTCAACGAGCTGAGGTACTCCAAGGCAATCGAGGCCATGTCCGGAAGCTGGGCCGTCCGTTTTCCTCTGGACTCCAGCGGGCTGGACCCGAACGGGAGGGAGCTACCGGTAGCTCTCAGCACTATGACGAGCTGGGCGCCGCCTCCCATCCCAAGGCTGCATCACCACAGGCCTCGTCTGTTGCGGGCGAAAGATTGCCACCCAGAGAGTCAGGGTCTGAGGCGCATCACCAGGCACGGTACAGGCGCGTCTTTGTCAGGTAGTAAGGCATGATGCTGAATTCATCAGTCTCAGCGGGTCGGTCAGATCATCCATTACGAAAGTATTCTGGAAAAGAAAAGAAAGACGGCGCGCTGGTAACCAACCGAAATCGATATCTCGCGACAAAAGAAAGGTGAAGGTCATGCATTGGGTAGTCCACATTTCGTCCAATCTAACTTTGGGCCAGGGAGAGCCACTGGGAGAGCCACTGGGGAGGGTCGCTCAACGAGCACAACCGCCTCGTCCACCACTAGTCCCAGGCGAGGCGGGCAGAACAAGCTGGGAACAGGCAGTGGAGGAAGAGGAGACAACTGGTCAAGTTGGGACTGTGTGGTGTCGAGTGAGGCGTTTGGAGGCTTGCTTGTTTTCACTTTGCGCAAAGGGAGAGAGCAGTCACTCGGTTACTCAGTCACTCAGAGGAAGCCAGCCGCCAAAAAGCAAAGCAGCAGGAGCAAGGGGCAAGAAGTTCGGGCTGACATGGTCTGTGCTGCTTCTGCTGACCCAGATAAGTGCACAGACCAGCAGCTGCCTCCTGCCATCCATCCAAACAGGAAACAGGGGTGGGCGCTTGTCCGGTGAGAACCTTCCCTCAGCTGCTCTGCATTAAGATGCAGACATCTGCTTCCCGCAGAAGGTGCAGAGCTGGGGCCAAGAGCTGCCCCTGCCCCTGTCCTTGCCCCTGCTGGATCCAGCCTCGATCTGTGCCTGCCAGTCCGTCGTCAAGCCAGGCACGACCGAGGAAAGCTCCCGTCCAAGTGTGAAGCCGTCTTCCAATTCCAACACCAGTGGCATCAGTATCCAACCATTCATCATCGTCGTGAGAGCGCCTGTCAGCTCGACAAGGAGTCTCCGACCATCGATCGTGTCGCATGCTCTAGTGTCGATATCGACCCCAAACCTTCGCCGTTGCTCTGCGCCAGTCCTTGACTTTGTCCTGCTCAGCCCTGTCATACAATTGTACACCAAGAACAAACGACCTGCAGATCGCGTGCCCGCACCCACGTTTCTATCATGAGGTTTAACAGGAACAATGGTCCTTGATCGCAACGAGCCGACCTTCAGGGCCAGATCGACGCACCTGATTCACCAACTGCCTCTCACGGGGGTATTCGACGCTTGGCATTGCTCCTGTCCGTCGAAATCGCTTCTCTTCGCCGTGTATGGGGGCCCTTTGATGCCCATACATGTCCGAATGCAATCTCGTTGGTTGTCAGTATTGTTGCGAGCAAGATGGCAATATCTGCACCAACCGCTGTCTCCTGCTCCCTGACCAAGGGCACCTCGATCATGTCTTCTCGCGAATCGCTCCATCAAGCCCCTGCTGGAGGGAAACAGCCAATCAAGACCCCGACCGGCAAAATCTCCAGCTCGTTGCGTCCAAACACCAACTAGATGCGGTCTAGGCCAGGAGACTCTATCATCAAAGAAAACTGGCACATGCGCCTCGACCCCGGCTATCTTGCTAGCCTCGCCGACTACGTTCGCCGACCTCCGCCTTTGTCTTGCGGTGCGACAACCGATTCGATTGCGCTCCCGATCACGCCCTGTCCGTGCAACTCGATTGACTAGCCTTCCGAATGGACCGGACTTCAATGGTTCTTCCTTATTGACCAGTATTTTGGGGAAGAAACGATGACCCAGTCGTGCTTCAACGTCGCGCCAGGAGACCCAATGGGGCGTCTCCAACGACACCCACATTCTGAGTATGCAATTGGCTCTCAAAGTTACGGGATGGGAGGGTGACTACAGAGGCGACAAAAGAGGCAACGATACGCAGTACAGAAGGTGCTGCAGCCACCGGCCTGAACGGTTCAACAGATCGTGGACATTCTTCCAGTCAACGTCCAAGTTTTGATGCCGACATGCTGCTCGGAGAGCTGACGGCATCCCGGTGCAAATCATTGCTTCTGCGTCGAAGCGACCCTCTACATCGGGGCAGGCGGCGACAGCTTGCACAGTATCCCTGTGACGGGCCATACGTCACTTTCCCGATTGCGACGCTGTTCCCGGTCCGGGGATGGGGATCTCCCGGGCAGATGCCAGCTACATCTGGCATTGGCTCGCCTATCGGGGCAGCTGGGTGCCCATATTGTCCGCATTGCACCGACCGCGTCTTCTCAGTGAGTGAGCCTTTAACCTCACCAACTTAACTGCCAAGCCAGCTTGCGGCCATCCTCAAGCCAAATAGAGTCGAGTTAGACGAGCGTTTCGGTTGGTGTGACGACCAATAAGCAGTATCTGGAGCTAGCATTGGGCTTGGTTCATTCCACAGTCTGGACCGTTGGCTCTGCTCTCCCGCAGGGGCCGCTCTTCTTGCTGAGCCCGCGCCTCCACCCCAGTCCGTGTCTTTGGGTCGTGGCGCCAAGCTCCTGTCACGATCTCAACTCCTCACATCAGCAGGGTTGATATCCGGCATGTTCCTGCGCTAACGTTCACCATGGCTGGCGCAGTCCTCTCCATCTGTGTGGACAAAGGTTCTCGCCGACGGCCTGGGTTGCGTCTGTAGCCTGTGGCTGTCCAGGCAAGCACGTTTCCTCCTCGTGAATCACTTGTGAGCGGCTTATAATGGAAGCCCGTAAAGAATGCAAATGTCTCTGACGACTTAAAGATGTGTCTCGCAGCTTGACATTGAACGTGCGTGGCTTTGGATCGTCAAAGCGGCAGGCATGTTTTGCAGCAAACGAAACATGTTTAAACAACAACATAAATTTCCATGGGCGCTTATGGATTCCTCCTGATGAAGTTTGTGGCACGTGAAACTTCTCACCATTCGATAGTTTCGGGATGAAAAGTCTCTGATACCTTCCATCCCCGGCCGTGACAAAATAGTCGGCGGGAAAGATGAGACATTGCTCAATACAGCACCTTAGCTCAGGGGAGCCCATCAGCAGACGTCTCGGAGCATCACCAGTGCTTCTCGGAGATGTCAACGTTATTCACATCCACGCCGTCCTTGAACCACCTCTGTGCATCTTCAATCTTCACGTCGTTCCCGCTCATTTGCCTCTTGCGCATGAGGCCGTTGTCTGCAAAGGTCCAATCCTCCAGGCCATAAGTCCGCCACCACTGTCCCGATTCGTCATGCCACTCGTACCAGAACTGAACAGCAATCTGGACGTCGTCAGCCATGCCTTTCGAAAGATTGGAATTCGGAATCTTTCGGCACGTCACTCACTTTATTGTCGGTGAAGGCAAATAGCTCCTTTCGGAGGCGGTAGCCATTTTCCTTTTCCCACTTCTTGGTCAGCCACTGCTCGACCTCGTCCCGACCCTGCAAGAAGGTGTCTCTGTTCCTCCAGATGGTGTCTGGCGTGTATGCCATCTTGACTTTGGAAGGGTTCCTGTGCATGTTAGTCCTCTGCGTTGACCTAGATGAGGAGCACGGACTTGGTGTTCCAACCATCCTGGGCCGCCTTGACCTTGACCCTCGCCGTTTCCTCCGTGAAAGGCGGAAAGGGAGGTCGCGATTCGTCTTGTGTGGCCATGATTACGAGTTCTGGATCAATTCTGAATAACAACGTCTTTTTGCACGATAGTTCGCGGGCTGGACTGCGTCGAGCGCAAGTGATATACGAATATGACGCAACTCTAGACTGCGGGAGATGCACGCAACAAACAGACGAAGCAACCAATCACGGCACGATCCGACAGGGATGTCGGTGTCTGTCAGCTGTCACCGACGCCCTTGGGGGATTTGGGCAGATGCCGCGGGGTCTGGTCTCGGTGAACGAAGGACGGCGGCGAGTTCTAAAAATTGCAGCTGCAGAGTCATAAGGCTGAGGGCGTTCAAAACTTTTCTCTTTTCTTTTGCATCATCTGACATCGTGGCAGCCAGGCGTTAGTCAGTGTCCGACGCCGGCCGCGCCCAGACAGAGGCGACATCAGGCGCACGGCGCATCACCGTGAATCAGGTACTAGCCGGGAACGCTGCATTTCGGTACCTCGCCCGGCGATTTTGGACGACTGCTCAACAAACACTCCTGTAGCTTCTGCACAACATCAACACATGTTTAAATCAGGCGCGCCGGATCTCGACGACCCGTCCCGATCCTTGCCCGTGATGACAAACCAGAATTCTCCCTAACTCAAATCAATTTGTGGTTTGCCAGGGCTTGGCGAATTAACTCCGAAGAGGGCCACCAGGGATGGCCCGAAAGACAGGCAGTGTGAGCTCGGACGGCCGAGACCTCAGAGGCCTTCGCGCGGCCCCCACCGGGGAGGGCGACCACGAGGGGCGCGCCGGGGATCGGAGGTTTGGGCGACGTGCCACATCCAAACGGACGCGGCATAAACGGCCGGTCTTGCGTCATGTCCAGGCCTGTGGACCAAAGAGGTGCGCAAACTGGTCCTTGGTGTGTCTAACGTGCAGAAGATACAGATAGCAAATGTTTAATTAGCTCTTTTTTGGTGTATCCCACCCTAGGTGAGGTACCCGTCGCCGTCTTATCGGCGCCGGAAGTTTTTACTGGAAATATCTCATCGCGATGGCTGGGGCCGGGCCAGGCTGGATCCCCGTCGTATTCCGCCGCGCCAGATGTAAGGTACCTACTTGCAAAGTTGCAAAGGTACGGAAAGCAGCACCTCACACAGCAGCAGCGCCCACTTCTTTTTTGTCACAGAAACTGCAGAAGCAGGCAGGAGAGGAGCGGCGACCCGAGAGAAGCTGCCGCGGGGGGTCTTCGGGGGGGAGTGGAGGGGCAACTGGAGGGGAGGCCACTTCCACGTCGAACATAACCGGGCCTACCGTCCCAGGAAAGAGTGGCCGCCCCGCGCCTATCTACAGAAATACAAATCATCGGCGCAGCTCCACTTCCCTCGACGTGGAATCTCGCAGAATTCAGCGCGGGACCCTGACTCGACGATCTTCTTTGCCGCCGTTGCTGCGAAACCTGGTGCCAGCCTCAGACTACTAATTGAAGCTCCCTTCTCTCTTCCTCCCCCCGGACTTGCTTCCTCTCTCCTTCAACCAACTCACTCACAACCACACACACTCAACCCTTCCCCATCACCACCAACCCAAACACATTCACAATGGCTCCTATCAAGGCCGGCGAGCAGTTCCCCGAGGGTGTCAACTTCCAGTACATCCCCTACCAGGCCGAGACCTCTGACTTCAAGGTCTGCGGTATCCCCATCAAGTACGACACCGCCAAGGGTAAGTCACGTCGCGCCTCCTCTCCTCTGCTGTCCTTTGGGCCACGATGCTGATTGCCTCCCCGTGCAGAGTTCAAGGACAAGAAGGTCATCATCGTCGCCCTCCCCGGCGCCTTCACTCCCACCTGCTCCGCCGCCCACCTTCCCGGCTACATCGCGAAGAAGGACGAGCTCAAGGCCAAGGGCGTTGACCAGGTCATCTTCCTCGCCTACAACGACCCCTACGTCATGTCCGGCTGGGGCAAGGCCAACAACGTCACCGACGACTTCATCGTGAGTTTTTTTCTTTCTCGGTTGCTGTTCTTTCCTGCCACATCATCAGACAACTCCATGGTTGTTGCTGTTGTCTACCCCTCCCCCTCCTTCCGTGGGGCCCTCACCGACTCCGATAAAAATGATTGCCCCCACCCGCCAGCCCACTTTCGTCAGCCCCTCCGCCAGTGGTCGATTATGATACCACGAGAGAAGGGGGAAGCTTGATCGTTGCAGAAAAATCACATCATCGGGCAACTGTGTCCTCTTTTAGCAATCTCGAGACACACTTTCAAGACATTGAGACTGACAGCGGCCTCCCACAGATCTTCTGCACCGACAACAACGCCGAGTTCTCCACCTCCATCGGCTGGAACCACGGCGAGCGCACCGCCCGCTACGCCATCGTCGTCGACCACGGCAAGATCATCTACGCCGAGAAGGAGCCCGATCTGCAGGGCCAGGAGGTCTCTGCCGTCGAGCCCGTCCTCAAGGCCATCTAAGGTCCTGCCGCAGGTCTTGATAAAATGCTTATGACGAGATGACACCCCTACCAACTACAATTAGAGAGAAAGGGAGGAAATTAGACAAAGACGCCTAGAAGAAGGGTGAAAAAAGTTGTTTAGACATTCCCCCTCTTTCGTTCTTTAGAATTTAGAGCAATGAAATTTGAGTAAAATCATCATCTTGTTCCTCATTGATGTGAGATGCCGTCTTTGCTGAAGGGATGAGAGCTAGGTGAGGGGTCAATGTGCGTTGTCCAAGTGCCCGGCGCGCGGGGGAGGAAGCTCGGAAATCCGACGCGGGGCTGGGGTTGGGCCTCCGATTCGTGCGCGGGGGACATCAAGGTTGGGCGATCCGGTTGATTGGGCGTGGTGTGGTTCGTCTCATGTCGAGGCATATTGTGTCGTTGTATGAGCGCTGCAATGCCGCCGGTTTCTATTATATATAGCTGGCTGGATTTTGCATCGACTATTGTGGATCAAAGAGGCAGAGAGATAGAGAGATGCTACGAACGGCAGAAGGGGTATTTCCAGCTTGGGGCGTTTTGTTAAAAGAGCGCTCTTGCCAGGGGAGTCTGGCTCTCGTCTAACTGACGGTGCATGTCGTTGCTTCAGACACGGGTGGTGTTGAGCATGCATGGCTGGCTGGGACGTACGGAGCAAGTTCGGCAGGACAGAGGCGAAGCGCATCCAGGGCCTGAGGAAGAACGGTATGGTCGGCATTTCGGCGGACGTTGTGCGACGGTGATTTCGCGGCACAGGTGGGATGGGCGGTTTCTCGCAGCCATCAATCCTCCCGTCGCCTTTTCGGCTTTTGGTCTCATAAGCTGCCTTTGCTTGCGTTGCGTGGTGAGGCGTCTCGGTCACGGTGACGACGTGTGGATAATCACGGGCTATTTGATGGGGGACTCGCGCTGGATGAGAGCACTGTTTGGCCTCACTTGGGAAGGCGTTTGATGGCTCCCATCCAATCTGACCAGGTCATCGTCTGGCCTTAGGTTGGTCCGGTTGAGGCGGTGCCTTTCGGACAGCAGCATCATTCTGGGTGAGACTACATGTAAGCTCCAGACGGGACGAGGTCATCGATCCTTGGAGACACGGAGGCATCACGTTCATCATCTCACAGACACAGCATCCCACCAGGGATAGGTAGCATCACGAACATCACCCCCACCGCTCCATGACGACAAGTCTTAACTTGGTAATCCCGTGGGACAATCCATGCATTCCGTGCTACCGTGATTTGTGTAGTTATAGAACCAGCCGTCAAAAGCACAAAGAACCCTCGACTCCAGATTGTGTGTGTGGTGGTTGGACCTGGCTTTAACGCGTTTCGTATTTTGATCCATTTACATTCCTCGCCAAACCCCGTCTCGAGGCCGCGCCGCCGGGCTACGGCGGTGGAAACCGCAATGCATTTCCCCTCGCTTTTTGGTGCCACACGCTTCCCTTGCCAAAAAAAGACCATAAACCCCCTCACTGAGTTACTCCATCAAGACAGAGAGATTGACATCTTAGCGGGTGGTGGCCTTGACCTTGGGGGCGGAGCCCTTGGCGCCCTGCTTGCCGACGATGCGGCCGGTCTGGCCCTTGCCGGCGGCGGCGTTCTTGGCCTTGTCGGCCTTCTTGGCGGCGTTGGCCTCGGCCTTCTTGTCCTTGGACTCCTTGATGGCCGCGGCGCGGGCGGCGGAGCGGGCCTCGGGGCGCATGGAGCGCTTCTCCTTGATCACATCGAGGGAGGCACCGACGATGGCACGCTGGGCCTTGACGGTGCGGCGGGTGCGCTTCTTGGCGACCTCCTGCGGGGGGAATCAGCAATCTGCATCGGGGTAAAGGACGAAGGAAGACATACCTCAGAGATACCCTTGCGGTGTTGGCGGCGGTACAGAACGGTCCACGAGATGCGGCGGGGGTTCTTGCGCTGGAGGAAGAGGGACTCGGACTTGCCGTTCTGGAAACGGAAGATCTTGCTGTCACCACGAACGTAGAGCTTACCCTGTATTCAGAGTTCTCGTCAGCGCCTTGTTCAACCATGCATGATGTGCCTGCCCAGTGTCCCAGTCTGCCTGTCCTCGGTTGTCCTAGCATCGTTCCCGTCGATCGTAGTCGTCGTCCTTGCTCTCGTCCATTCGTGTCCCATCTGATTTCCTTCTGCATTGCCCCTCCTAATCCTACACAATTGATCGACGGGAAGATGTTGGGTTTGCCGCGGGCGGAGACGAGGGATTGCACTGGGCTGGCTGATGATGGTTCTATCGTACCTTTCCAGGGTAGATTCTCTGGCCCGAGAACGAATCGTCGTACGTGCGCATCTTCTCGATTGTCAGCAAAGCCTCCTCACATTGAAACCATCTTTCCCATCCGTCCAGATCTCTTTGCAAACACTTCTTCCCATCCCACGATGCCGGCCGTACCCCGAGCCCAAGAGCCGTCGTCCAGTCGCAAGAATCCTTCACAAAACACCAAAGTGACGTCGACTCATGGCTCGGTGGCAAGGGCGCGGCGCGGCGATCGTAGGAAAAGCGAAGTGTTTTCGAAAAAGGGGACGGACGCAGAGAACCGCAGCAAGGGTTCAAGAACATACATTGGCGGTATTGAATGCGAACGTTGGCTGACTTGTCGGTGATGGGGGGGAGGTCGAAGGAGGAAGTCAAAGGCGTCACGCTCTTTTGCTGAGATTCAATTTTCGCAACGTCGCGCGGGCGGTGCGGTTTGGGCCGGTGTTGTGGGGAATTCGCTCCTTCCCTCAGTGCGGTGGTTGTAAAGCCCTGGGTGCCCCACTCTTGGACGGCCGTCGTTCGCTTAAGAGCGCCAATCACGTGCGCTGACTAGGAAGCAAGGAAGGTGCACTCTGACTTGTGTGCCTGCCGTGTGGCGCCATGGTGCTTGCCCTGATGCCCTGTGGCGGTGCAAGAGGTCCGCCCGCGCGCTTTCAGTGGTTCCGCGAGGTGCTGGTCACTTACATCGAACGGGATGAGCTGCTGGGTGAGAGTCTCACGACCGCTTTTGCAACGCATGGCTGCTGCGGACCCGAATGCCGTCGCCGACCTGGTCCTGCGCCGGTTCGGGGAGCTGCCGGCCAAGAGGAAGCCTGCGGTCAGAGACAATGGCCTGCACGAGTGGGTTCCCCTGAGCGGCATCGTTGCTGAGCGGGATGGCGTCCTGACGTGTCTGTCTCTTGCGTAAGTTGGGTGCAACATGGTGTTCTGCGTTGAGACTTCTTTCATGAGATTTGGCAAGATTCACGACGGGCACGATGTAACTAGCATGAATGGCAATACTCAAATTCACCCTCGCTCGCCTCCCATCTTCATGTGAGCTGGACTAACACCCAGCAGGACAGGCATGAAGTGTCTCCCGGCCGCGAAGCTCCCCCAGGCAAAGGGGAACGCCCTCCACGACTGGCACGCCGAGGTCCTCGCCATCCGCGCCTTCAACCGGCACCTCCTGGATGAATGCCGCCAGCTCCTCTCGGGGGAGTCATCCCTCGTCAGACGCCGTGAGCAACACGAGATATCCCCAGACGCGCCCCAGCCGTTCGCGATACAGGATGGCGTCGCGCTGCACATGTACTGCTCCGAAGCGCCCTGCGGCGACGCAAGCATGGAGCTCACCATGGCCGCGCAGGAGGACGCTTCGCCGTGGGATATGCCCGCCCCCGAAGAAGCAGCAGCACCCAGCACAGAGACGACGACGCTCCCCGGGCGTGCGTACTTCTCCCGCCTCGGCGTGGTCCGCCGCAAGCCCGCACGCGGCGATGCCCCGCCTGCCATGTCCAAATCCTGCTCGGACAAAATCGCCCTGAAGCAGTGCACCTCCCTCCTCTCCTCCCTGACCTCGCTGCTCATTTACCCGGGCAACGCCTACCTCTCCTCTATCTTCCTCCCAGAAACGCAGTACTCCGCCACCGGGTGCGAGAGGGCCTTCTCCGCGCAGGGCCGCATGGCGAGCCTCGACGGCCGGATATGGCGGGGCGGGTACAGATTCGCGCCGTTCGAGGTGCGCACCACGGAGCGGGAGTTTGCGTTCTCAAAGAGGGAGGTGAAAGCGCGCGCGGAGAAGATTGCGGCGAGTAATTTGGCGGCGGCGTGGACTGCCGGCGGGCTTGACGAGGGCACGATGGGGGGCGTGTTGCAGGGCCGCAAGGCTTTTGATGCCAGGGGCGCCAGCGCGGTGTCTAGGCGGAGGATGTGGGAGGAGGTTGCGGCGATTGCGGGCGAGCTTGGAGATGATGGGGAGGGGTTGAGGAGGGTGCTGGCTGGGGTGACGTATGCGCATGTCAAAGGTAGTGAGTTGCTTGCGGCGAGGCGAGAGGTTAAGATGGAGGCGAGGAGGGAGGCTCTGGCTGGCTGGATTGCCAATGTCGGGGATGACGATTTTGAGCTTCCCAAGAGGTGACGTCGAGGCGATGGGCTTATCCCTTTGACGCCGAAATGTGTATTTTAGCGTGGTTTCTGTTATCCAATCAAATTCTCCTTAGAATGCAGGTTTAAGCAAATCAGATACAGCGAAGAGCCGTTTGCTTACCTACGCAGGAAACTGAGGAAAACTGGAGCAAAAAACCACGCTAAAATACACATTTCGGCGTCAAAGGGATGATACCAACTGAATTCGAAGACAGCACAGATAAGCGTGCAGGCATACATCATCACGTTACACAAAACTGCCACATGTCCAGGCTTTGCAATGTTTCATTATGCAGAGACTTGGTATCGCATGCGGAAGGGCATCACGCTTCTTCCCTAGACCTTCGTCTTTGAACCAATCCCTCATGAGATCCTCCAGCTTCGCCCAGAGCAAAAAAGACGATGGGCACAGTCGTGTCAGTCGCTCCTTGAGTATGTTGCGCGGAAATTTTGCCCTTTTTTAAATTCCTTGTAAAAAAAATCCACACGCTGAAAACATTTTTCTTTCCACGGGGACCCGGTATCTCGACGACAACTCCCCTAGGGGCAAAAGAAAGAGAGAGGCAGACGGGATGATCATCAACAAAAACGCTTTGTATTTTGAAAATGTTTTACGTTTTTTTTTTGTCGTTGGTGTCATCAGGTCCAGAAATGTTTCTCCTCAATTCGGCCCGGGAAATGTTTACTCGACCTTGCTCTCGAAGTTCTCACCCTCGACCAGGTCGGGGATGTCGTCCTCCTCACCGTCCTTGCCCTCCTTCTGCATGTTCTGGTAGCTCTCGGCGAGCTTGCGGAGGGAGGCGAGGGAGTCGGGGCCGAGCTGGTTGAGGATGCCGGGGACGAGCTCGGTGAGCTCCTTGTCCTCGCCGTGGCCGTAGATGGCGAAGGTGTTGGCGGGGACGGCGGCGTGGACTGTGGGTTCAGGTCTCAGCAGGATGTTTCTCTCAGGCGACAAACAGCGAGTGCGGCAGCAGCACAGCGGCAGCGACAGCTTCATGCATGGGGACGGGATGGTGACATACCCTTGGGGGCAGCGAAGTGGATGACGTTGCCGTCGGACTTGAACATGTTGACCTCCTCAATGGCCTGGATGGGCTGGACGTTGAGCTTCTTCAGGGCGGCCTGGAGCTTCTTGTCGTCGGCGGCGGAGCGGGCAGGCGCGCGCTTGACCTTTCTGCGGGGAGTGCCCTTGCCGCTGTTGTCGGGATCGGTACGTTAGCCATCTGATGTTCCCATATCAAAAGCAAAACCGCAGTTCGGTGAATCGTGCTCTGTCTGGTGGTGACAATTTTCTCTCGTGGTTCGGAGGTAAAGCTGGGGGCAGGTGTGGTGAGGGGTCATTTTCGCGGATTGGTCACAACATACCCTGCGCACACAACCTTGTCAGCCTTGCTCTGCGAGTCAAACAGCAATTCCAGCTCCGGGAGAATTAATTCCTGAGCTCACAGAATAAACGTACCGATACGCGCGGAGGCACCGAGCTTCTTGAGGCGTTCCTGGACGTCCGACATGGTTGCGATATCGACGGTGGTGTTTTTGGCGGAGGGGGGAGGTGGTGGTGGTTTGAGGCGGGAGTGGGGGGTGGTAAGGTGGAAGGAAATCGGGCGGGTTTAGGGAAGCTGTGCGCGGGTACCTCAGGGCAATTAGCAAAATGGTCTCTCGTTTTCGCAGGCGACGGCGGGCAGAACCAGCCGCCCAACCAAGAAATTTTTTTCGCGGCCGGGGGGAAAAGCTGCACAGGTGCACTGGCGATGCCGGGGAATTTTTCACTTACCCGTAACTCGTTCGTATGTCCCGTCTTATGTCGTAAGGCTGAGCCGCTTGAGCTGTGGTGATGGTCAATGTCAAGATGGATGTTTTGTGCGTGCCAAGATTCTTCGCTTGCGGAAATAGTATGTGCCGAGGCTGCTGTGGTGTGATCTCACCGAGACTGACCGAAGCACACCCGGAGAGGTGAGGGGCGGTGGAGGGGTCATTCCCGCGAAATTTTGCAGCGCCGACATCACTATTACGATGCAGTAGTTGGGAGAGCCGATATGTCGTCTTCTTTTAATTTGTAGCTTCGTAAATTCGCTGTTCTCTTTGACTGCCCAATTCCAAAGTTCTCTCCTTGAACGCCATTGACCAGCCCTCATAGGTTTCATGGTATCTTCTCTTGTTTTACAGCCATTACGATATGCACCTCCATGGTGTCTGGCCCGTCATGTATAATACAATACCCGCTCGCGACGGATGATAATTCATCGTGTAGGATGATCATCGCTCTACAGTCCCGACTCTTTCCTCATGGCCTCCTGCTGCGCCTTAATGTCATTGTCCCTTTGCTTCTTCGCCGCAAGCTGCGCTATCCGTTGCCTCTCAATATCCTCGTCTCGTACCGTCCAGACTGCGCACATGTTAGCAAATCCATCTTCGACATAGCGAACGGCTGTGAACGTACTCGGCTTGTCCGACTTGGAGTACTCCTTCAACTTGGTGACGAAATGGTCGAACTCGGCCTGCGTCTTCTCGCGGTTCTCCAGACTCCTCTTCTGCAGCTCGGGATTGTATCGCTTGAAGAGCTCCTCCTCGGTCGGGGTCACCCAGATGGTGAAGGCCGGTCCGCCGACGCAGATGGCCGCTCCTCTACAAACATATCGTCAGTCACTCGTTTCTTCAGCATAACTTCCATTGGAGCGCTGCACATACCCCAGCATCATCTTCCCCCACAACTTCCAATTGGTAGCCTTCTTCGACATTGTGACCGTTTCTCGTGATTTCTGGCTAGAAGATGCACAAACGCACAAAAGGCCGGCGCGGAGGTCCTCGGACTAGACTTCTGCGGCGGGAAAGCGACTACCGGCCCAATCGATGACGAACCTGACGCGCTTGATTGGAGATTTGCCTTTGCTTTCTCAAAAGGGAAGGCG